GTAAAGGTAACGAAGTGTAATTGCGACGCAAATAGGATATTATTCAGTTTCCAAAGTATATTTATAATTTATATTCATATTTGTAATTTTATTTCTACGAGCATGAAGTAGTTCGCAAATTTTGAACGTTCTGTTATTACTGCAGAACTTGTTTGATCGTTATGTTGTTAGGCTGCCAATAGGTTTGTTGTGTTCTGTTTATAAAGTGTAACGTTTATCAAGCTAACAAGCTTTATTGGAACACTAACAGCTGCGAACCGCATTAGGACCGTGTGTCAAGTACCAATTAAAGTTGTACATGTAGTAGGTGTGTAGATCCATTCCGTAAATGAAAAGGTCTTGAATTTGTTTAATCAGTTAATTTATTTGCCTCTTTATTTACTTATTACAAAAGTTTCTTGCTAATTAGAAAAAAATAATCATAAAACCTTAAATAATTAGAGTAATGTCGTAATACCTTTGCACAACTATAATAAACAAATTAGGGTAAGATTCTCGCAGTCACTTAGATTACGCATTCCATTATAAAATCTCAATAAATAAAGATTCTCTTAATTTAAGTGCAGTGTCCTACATATATAGAAAATATTGAAATTTCAACTGTAACATGAAAACTTAATACACATAAACATCAATAGAATATTTTCCTCTCACGGTAACACTCGTTCTAGTTTCATTATTATCGTACAGGGCTCACGGAGTATATCATCTTTTTCTCCAGGAGCGAATTATTTGCCAGTTCCTTCACGGACCATCCTTTCATTTCTTCCTGTAAACAGACTTTTCCGTGACCGGTACGTTGAATGTCTACGGCGAAAACTAAATCCCCATTGAAGGCCCATTATGCGTATCATTGCAAGAGCCATTAAGCTTTCATCCGTGTTACCTGACTTCCATTGCCGCTATTATCGGCGTTATCAAGCAAATCTGGCTTCGTAAATCAGGTTTTCGCCCCGGTTCCAGCTTTTCCAGCGAGCTAGATGGAGGAAACGTTGGAAAGAGGATACTTTCATTGGGCAGATTGGCTGGTGTTCGGGGTGATGCTCGCCGTGTCTGCCGCCGCAGGATTATGGCATTACAGAAAAGCGCAGAAGTCGAGCACGGAAGATTATCTCCTCGGAGGAAAGAGCCTGGGTCTCTTCCCGGTGTCTGCTTCTCTCGTAGCAAGGTACTTCATTCGCTGATCCTTCTAATTGTCGGCGAATTAAATTGGTACAAATACCTTAAGTGTTTAGTATCTCTTTTTGACTTGCAATTTATGCTCGATTTATTAGTATGATTTATAATCTGAATCGATAGTCCGTTTACGTTTTTTCTTTTTAATATTGTCTCTTTTAAAATTTGTGAAATAGAAGACGTATAAACGAATAAAGTTTATGATAAGCTTTCTTGTTGACTGTTGATAGTTTCATCTCTGGTGTAACGATTCTCGGGACACCGGCTGAGATATACAATTTCGGGACTCAATACTGGATCACTATCATTTCCATATTCTTCTCTGGAGTAGTCGTAGCCACGGTCTACGCACCTGTATTCGTGGAAATGGGACTTAATTCCGTGTACGAGGTACGAATTCGTTTGGCCACGCGTTATAACCCACGTTGAACATAATACTTTCCCGAAAAGATTTAATGAAAAGGAAGGAGTAACGCGTGGCCTTTCGTGATCGTGAGATCACAAAGTTCCCATAATCGAGGCACTTTTTTAATTCGCTACCGTCACGTTTCTGTTTTCAGTATTTAGAGATAAGATTTAATCGTGGCGTAAGGACCCTCATATCGTTGATCTTCGTTATTGATGTGGTAAGCATAAAACGTGTCAACGAACCCTGAATATACCGGTTTTGCCTTTATCTAGATTTCGGACGGTGCGCGGAGTCCCGCGACGCGGCATCAGAAACTTTGAGAAAAGTAATTCATCATTGACTTTAATTTGACGGTAACTCATTTAGAATGAAGTTATGTCATGCCACGTTATGCGACGGAAACACGAAACTTTAATCGACGCGGCTTATCGGGACGCGCGAAGGAACTTTAAATGACTGATTGCAGTAACTTTTCGCGTGTAAAATAATTGTTTCAAGAAAAAAGGGGAAACTGTAATATTAGGTTGCACGTGAAAGCGAAAGATCGAATGTGAATTTCATTTCAAGGGTCGTAATGCTCCATTGTACTGGCAATGAGTGGGTGCATCTACTTTCGTGTTGTTATTTCTCTTTGATTCTAACGTCTATCAATCTGTACCATTTTAGTTTCTATTATTTATTTGATTGAAATTTGTCTTATTGGACATTGCATTGAACTGCGTACGTAAATTCACCCCTTTGTTATAGATTATTATACAATTACGTAATGAAGTTGAAGGAGTGTAATGTTTCTAAACGGTTGGTAGTTTCGTGCTTAAGTACAAAGATGAAGAAATCGAATAATATTAATTAAAGTACTTTGTCTATCTATCCCTCAACCTATTTCTATTCAATGTCGTTGTAACGTTAATAATTCCGTAACAAACCAATTTCAGGTACTTTACCAATCGATCGTGGTCTACGTTCCTGCATTAGCGCTAAATCAAGGTATTTTGCGGCCATATTATTCATAGTGGAACATTAACCGGGCACTATTAAAATCTCTCTGATTAATTACAGTGAGCGGCATTGATGTGCATTTGATCGGGATCGTTGTATGCTTCACGTGTGTGTTCTATACCGTTCTGGTAAGTTTATGGCCCAAAATTAATTCGACGTTTCTGTAATTAATCGACCGGCAACAATGAAAGGGACCGAACGTTTTGAAATGTTGCTTCTTTGTTCGTTCGTCGCGTTTATGGCGATACGGTCGCGTTTCGCTTACTTCAACGGCATAATCAGCTCTACGCGGCCATTACGAACATTGTTTGCTAGGAACTCGGCAGTTTGCGTTGCTCGTATGTTAACAGCTAGTCCAATATGACATCATTTTCGTCCAATTTGAAATACATTACTCCTTTGTTAGTGTCTCATTCCAACGTTTAACGTTCGAGTATACTACCATAAAATACCCTATAAGTTATAATTGTTTGAAAATTCTTCAATCCAGTGCTATCACGGTAACTCCATTATCACGAATTAAATCATATGTAATTCTTATTCATATTTCATGGTTACATGAATATCAATGGCAGACAAACTGCCCGGTGAAC